AGCTCACATATGTGGGATTTGTTGCGTCACTGCTGGGGGCCCCGGAGGCCCCAGGCCAAGTACCATGTGTGCCTGCCGTGTCTACACTCCATTTCCCACTCCGACCAGAAGTTTGGGGAGAAGGTGTTGTTCCCTCTCCATTGTGGTCCCACTGTGTGTGTGTGTCCCCAACTTCTCTCTCGGGCCCACTAGCCCGGCCTAATGTCACTGGCCTGGGTTGTCCATTTGCAAAAGAGGTCACCCAGTGGTGGGCGGGGGGTGGGGAAGGGGGTGTCTTTTCTTGTCTCATTGCGTCCAGGAGAGAGGGATGGCCTTTCCCACAGGGGTGGCCCATGGCAGTGTGGCGGGCAGGCCTCACCCTGCCGGCCAGCAGGGCGTGCGTGACCCCTGGTTGGGGGGGAGGAAGGCTGTTGCCATGGTGGCCTGTGCGAGGCAAATTCCTCCAGGGTGAAGTGGGAGATATTTATACCCAGGGTCAGGCAGGGAGCGGGCGAGTAGCCGAGGGCAGGAGGGCCGGGGTTGTATAGGCCACAGCGAGGCCGAGTGTGCGGGCAGGTGGGACTTGGGCGTGTCCACTGTATCTCCAGTGTCCCAGGCGGCATCTCGCTGTCCCCTGCTAGGGTAGGTCTGAGGATCTGAGCCTGCTGTGGGAGGTGGAGGCCTGGGGGGAGACCCCCGGGGACTGTTTGTGTCTCAATCCTCTCCCTGCTTGCTGTGTTCTGTCGTGTGACCACCATTGTGTGAGTTGTTTTGGTGACGCCGTGTCCCCGTGAAACCGGGGGTGCCCCTGTTTCTCAGCGACCAGACCAAGCCAGATGACTGCCGCTTTTGTGACCAAGTCCCCAGACTGTCTCTGACTTAACCCCTCAGGTTCAGGCCCTGACGGTTAAGCCGATGAGGGTCTCCATTTCCTGATCTTTGGTGTCTCCTCAGGACGATGGCACCTCTCGGCCACATCTTGGCTCTCTCCGTGGGTCTCCTCACCATGGCCAAGGCAGGTGAGTCTCAGGGAGGCAGCCCACTACCTGCCTGGGCCCCAAGGACCCTGTGAGAGAACTGAATTGTTGACCCCCACTTAAACTGAGTCCCGTGGGGAGATCGAGGGATCTCCGTGTGGGGTCCAGTCACAGGCTGGCATTTGAGGGAGGGCAGAGGATGCCCAGGTCAGGCAAAGGTGGGAGGTAAGATGGAGGCGGCTCCCTGATCGAAGGATGGAATCATAGGCATCCGGTCAGGAGTCTAGGTCCTGGGGCAATTAAGTGCCCCCATACCACCCAGGGTAGTGCCATGACCAGAGTGGGCAGGCAACCTGCCCTGGGTCCAACAGCCCCTCAACTCTCAGCTTGGGAAGGTAGAGCCCACCCTCCCACCTCCCACTGCCCAGAGTCTCTTTAGGAGCCAGCAGGTGGCGTGGTGGTTAAGGTGCTGGATTCCCACATGATTGTCTGTGGTTCTAACCCCAGACCCAGTGGCTTGAAAATCATCCCAGGCATGTGTGTATGTGTGCCCAAAATCCTGAGGAGAGAATGGGGGAGAAGGGATTGTGGAGTGGCCAAACCTCCTGGGGAGTGATTTCTTACTTTCTCTTTCTCTGTCTCTGGTGAACTCACATACCCTATGGCAAAACCCTAAAAAGGAGAAAGAAAAAATGAAACAGAAAAAGAAAGAAGGTCTTTTTATGTGCTTCCCTGTCCAAGATCCCAAGAAATATTCAATCTGATTTTTTTTTCTTACCAGAAGCTCCGAAGGAACACGACCCATTCACCTACGGTAGGAAACATTTCTCCTCGGGGTCCAAGGGGAGGGCCTGGGCTTGCTATCCTGTCCTCATTCCTTCTCCCTCTCTGTCTCTTTTCTCTCTCTGTCTCTCTGACTCTCGTTACAACCTGTCATTCTCTCGCTCTGGCTTTCTTTCTTGATCTTGTCCCTTTCTCTCCCTGACTCCATGTGTATCCGATTCTCTGATCCTTCTGTCTCTCTCCTGCCTTGCTCTCTCAGTATCTGATGTCCTGTGCTCTCTGCCTCCTGCCCTTTGGCCCCTCCCTGTCCCCCTCGCCACCTCCCTCCTCCCCATCCTCCTCCCTGCTGCCCAGACTACCAATCCCTGCGGATCGGAGGCTTAATCATCGCGGGGATCCTCTTCATCCTGGGCATTCTCATCGTCCTCAGTGAGTCCCCCCACCCCCGCCCCGCC